CTTGCCTACACGATAAGCTAATTTTGTCATTTGAAAGTTAAACAAGTACTTCAAATGTTAGTGCCGTAATGAACAAGAGGCGTCCTCTTCAAGAGCACCGTAAACATAAGAGGGCCCTCTCTTATTAAAACTCTCATGTTAAAAGGTTTGTTCCGGAAGAATATATGCCCGTAATCAAAAATGCTATCTGGAAAAAATACACCCGAAGCCACATATGAAAAAGTTGCAGAAACCAAACTTCCGCAAATACTTATTGAAACCCTCATGTAAAAGGGATAATTCTTGACAACAAAAATGCATCGAAGAAAATGTGCTTGAGACCACATGCAGAAAAACAGGAAAATATGCACATACATTCAAGCAAAAGAAACACTCAAACAAACATTTGAGCAAAAATATGTACTCAATTACAAGAATGTGCCAAAAGAAGTACAAAACAAGGAAAGAAAAATCTAAGGTACAGCATCACTGGAATCAGGAGGAAAAGAAGTATCCATATCCCCGGGAGCAGTAGGTTGTGCCACCGATGGCTCAACATCTTCTCCAACTGGGTTTTCGTTATCATCGCCTTCTGATTTCTCTTCAGTATCAGAAATATTGGAACCAGAATCAGAAGAACCGGGAGCATCAGATCGCGCCGGGAGTCCATTCTTTGCAGCCAACTCAAGCTTGCGTGCCTTAGCAATTTCGGCATCAATATCAATAATGCCAGCTTTGGATGCTTTAAGGTTTTTCTCCTCGTGCTGTACATAACGTAAGTTTTTTCAACAACGAGGGAAGCCTCTCGGCGCCTGAGTTCTTCTTTGAGCTAAGTGATCTCGGTAAAACGTTTGTCCTAGGTGGACCTAGCAGATCGAAGACTGACATCGAGATCATGTACAGTTGAACTATAGAGCATGTTGTGCTCGATAGTTTTCTTATACTTCTCCTCCAACTGGGCATGACTCGCCCCCGCGGCAGCAAGTTCTTCGACTTAGAATTCAAGGTTGCTTCTAAATCAGTTATCCTTTCAGCATCAACAGCCTCACGATCATTGGTAGCAATAATGGCATTTTGGACCTCAGTCCTCATTTAGCCTTGACTCCATCAAAACTGGCCCTCAGCGGCCCGACTTCCTGGTTGAGGGTTACCACTTCTTGCTCACTTTGCTGCAAACGGGCTTCCAAAACATCGGCCTCAGTGGCCCTAGTTTCCAGTTCTGAGAGGCGAAGAACAATCTGGTCTCGTTCAGCCAAAATTTGATCCCGTTCAGAAGAGAGTTCCTCCTTCTCACGGATTAACCGATGTTGGCCCTTGGAAGCAAGAAAATTAGCCTACAAGATAAGAAGAGGTAAAATTTAGAATGCACTCATTTAGAAGCTGAGAAATAGCAAGAGAAAGACAGAAACATACCGCTACAGCATTATGCATGGCATTATTTAACAAACACTCTCCCGAGAGTATCTGAATCTTTTCCCAATCCTTCTCTAAAGCCAAGGGCTTCAGATAATTTGCAAGATCCACCGACCAGGAAAGAAGGTTGCACCCGATAGAGACTGAAAGGGTAACACTCCTCCTCCTCTGAGGATCTTCAGAAGGGGCAGCCTAATTTTGCCCCATATTCCCATGAACAGGGGACTGAGAAAGAGGAAAGCCTTCAACATGGTCAGATGCGGCCGTTGGAGATGATGTGGTCGGTAGAAGCGTGGATGAAGATGGAAATGATGTAGCAACTGCCGGTGGCGAAGAAGGTGGTGATAAAGCTTATGAAGAAGAAAAACGGGAAGCAGGTACACCAAAGGCAGCACTGATGGTTGGGTACTCACTGACCGAGGATGGCAAGGACCCGGTACTCTACCTCGCAGTATCGGATACAACAATTAGGGCCCGAGAACGGGAGTTGGCATTTTCCACTAAATCAAACTCTCCCCAAAGTGCCGAGACATCATTCTTGGCGGATGTGACTGCATCAAAAGGTTGAGCATCCTGTTGAGAGGATAAGGATCATTGTCTTTTATGAAGAGAAGCTCCCTCATCACTAGCTTCTTCATCATTAATCACTACGGTGTCTATGACCAGCCCGGAAGGAGGATCGGACAACGTCGCCACCTGGGATGCTTCGGGGGCATCAACCTTTGCCCTCTTATTCTTCCCCCCCGACTCAGAAAAATGCCTTCTTTTTGGTTGCTTGTTCTCTAGTCGGGGACTCCGTGAAGAAATATTTGTGCCCGGAGTAGACCCGGAGGCACCCGTTCGAGCAAGCGCCTCCTGGAAAAACCTCGCCGCATCAGCAGGGTCGGCCAAAACATCCTCTTTAGGGATATCAACTGAGCCCGGGGGTAGACCTAATTTGACAAACAAGTGAGGAGATTCAACCAAAATCCATATATGCAAAAACTAAAGCAGAGCAAATTATAGTTACTATGATTTTTGGCCTTCCACCCGTATTTAATGGACAGTTCTTTCTACAAACGAATTTCGGGCGTGGTGATGTCCAAGATCTTTTGAACCCACCGGTCCAAGCCTTCTACCACCGTTAGGGCCCATCGGGTCGCTATATCATACAGAAGTTGAAAGATCAATACAGGCGTAAAAATATTTAGGAGGGGAGAACGTATTGAAAGAAACTCACGAGAACAGTTCCAAGCAACCGGAAAGGATGAGGCCGTTGTTGGAATAATGTCACCGTAGGCAACTGCAACAAACCATTCCATCCACTCTCGGTCATTGCCACATGACCACGCTTGCAAAGTTTTATCATCCCCCCGCGGAAGATCTTGGGGGAGTACAGATTCATCATATGAGCCAGAGTCAGCTCTTCTTTGGTTTCAAAGCACAGGCGTCGAAGGCAGGCAACCGTCCTCCACATGGAGGGGCTTACCTGTGCCAAACATATCTGGTAGCGAAGGAAAAACTCCGTTATCACGGAATCAAGCTCCCCACTCAAAGAGAACGTACCCAAGGTAAAAGGGTACGTGTAAAAATATGTGAAACCATCTCTGGGAAGGGTCACTCGCTCCGATAGGTCGGGAGCGATGATGTCCAAATTCGGGCAACAACAGTCTTCCTTCACAGTAGGGATACTGGAAGGATGAATGGAAGATGGATACCTTTTAACCGCCCATGTACGGGGGTTATCAGTGGAAAATTTCTCCTCCAAATCCTTCAAAATACTGAGCCTTTTGAGCATTATGGAACTTACTGTTGAGGGAGCAGAATCTTCGCTTTTGTTCTTATTTTTCGAAGAACCAGAACGTTTAGATGAAGAAGCTATTAGAAGAGGGTAAGAAGAAATTTTGTGTTTGGAAAAAATTAGAGAAGAGATGAAGAGCAGGAATGCAGGTTGGAAGTTCAAGCAACTGGTAAAACCTAAAGAAAAAGGGAGTCGATACGTATAGGTAAAAATTTTGGGCGGCTAAAATACTTGGCCCCAATTACCTCGATAACCGGCAAAAGGCGTGCTAAATCATAGGAGGACGCGTGTTCTAGGCATTAAATGCGGAGAGACATGCATCTAATCAACCATCAGTAACCTACAAATGGGATTATAGTAATTCCCACCAAAGGTGGATTCTCACCAACTTTCCGGTAACACAAAGTTGTGTCACCGGAAAACAGGGAGACTATCTGTACTGGGTAAATACGTTATGCTACGTGGCCACCTAAGAAGGGGATACATGGAATTAAAACTGGGAGGATGGAAAATCGGCACAACTACCTTGTGTGTCACCGAGAAAGGCAAGTTCGTAAGGGCATTAAGCATGTTGTGCCCAATGGCATTTAATGAAGAATATTCCACAGCATTGAAGAATAACTACTCATTTAAGAAATCTGAGAATTTATGTTTACCGTTAGGTTTTCGTTATCGCACTTTAATAATTGTCATTAGTGGTGGGCCCGACCATTACGCCCACTGAGTTATAAATAATAAGCTCAACTATCATTGTAAGACATGATTTTCTCGACATCAAAAGACACATTCTAATACAACATCTTGATACTATTTCTCTCTCTAGCTTATTGTTCTTATCATCATCGTGTCCTGAAACCCTGTTTCAAGGCTCTCCAAATCTATCGTTTTATCTATATTTGAGCTAAGTATCTTGTACGAAAATTGATTAATTCATTATCTTCTGGGATCAAATTGATTCATCTGTCTAGAAATCACGAATAAATTCAACTACATCGTTTTACGGGTAAACAGTCGTATCAGCCCACATGAGTGACCCGCGACCTATAATTCATGATATATCAGTCTAATATGAAAAATACGAAGTGCTAAGTTAATTCAAGATAAAATAAAAATCACTAGATTTGCTGCCTTTTCCTTTTTTTTCTGTTTATTGAACCAAATTGGTCTTCTTCTTTAATAAGTATTGTACATTCTCACGAAACTGTAATTCTCTGTCACAATTTCTTCTTTTTGTAGTATTCATCTGCTTTCTCTTCACTTTTCCCCTTTAGACTATCCATTCTGACAGAAGGATCAAGAACAGTACTACTTTTGGGAATTCTTATCTTTTTAATCATACTAGTGAACTAAACCTCAATTTTGTTTAGCTAGAAAATTTCCATGACAAGGCAAGAGAAAATAGGTTTTGTAATCTTAAAATAGTAGTTCCTCTATTTCAATTTAGTCCGTTTAAAAAAAATAACATATTTATATATTTTAAAAATAATTTAATTTTAAACTTTTCACTCTACCCACTTTACTCTTAATGAGAAGCTTTTATAGCCACACAAGAATCATGGTCCCACAAAGTTTTTACCCCTTAAACTTGTAGGACCACATATTTCAAAAAAAAAAAATTAAATTTTATATCAAATCAAGCTAACTCATCTAAATTGAGATAGATTCAGCATTACACCACATGATTTTTCAATCATATAGTAGGAAACACTCAAAAGTGCTACCTTTTTTGAGCAAATACACCATCCAACTACATGATTTCCTTGTACTACGATGCAAAGGTTGTCTGCATAACATCAACTATATTTTCATTAATAGAAAAAGAAAAAAGTGAAATAAAACTATGAGCTACTGAGAATTATTCCTTTTGTAAAATCAACAAAAACATCTTCATAAAGTATGCAATTTCCTTCCCTTTATTTTTTTCAGCCTGCTTCTTCCGCTACGCCAACAAACACTCTTAGCGCAATCTTATAAATGGGATCCGAAAAATAGTAATATTTTATAAAGATAGAAAGACTATTTTCGAGGAATCTTTGCATTTCAAAAAAACATAGCAACCTACTTCTTCCACTGTTCCTGAAAAAAGTTCAAAAAAGCAAAGGTAAATGGTAAGAGAGTGATTGGATTGGCTTATTTTAAGTGTTTATTGGCTTTTAAGTACTTTTCTAATTTTTAAGGTGCTTGGCAATGATAAAAAGTGCTTAAAAGCACTTATTTTTAGACATAAAAAATATAAAAATAAGTCAAAAACCAAAATTTGATTATTACGACTTTTAGCTTATAAACTACTTTTTAAAAACTAATCCAAATACCTCTTGCTCTTCCACCAATAGGTCTCCACCATAGTCAGACAAATCACATCATTTTCCTCAACTATAGAGAAGTAATTAGCCAATGGCAATGCCATTTCTGCACCACCTTTGAAATGAAACTTCAGCTCTGGCAAAGACACTGTTTTATGCCCTGAAACATTAAAACAAGGCCTTAAACCTGTCAATTTTTCAATTTTCTCAATTCTTGAAAACCCCTTTACTTGGTTCACAAATGCACTCATCACTGGCTCAAAAATTCCATGATTCAAGAATGTGAAAGTTGTCCCCGAATCCACTATAGTCCCACCATCCCCTTTGGAATTTGGTGTCAAATAATGATATGGTATTTTCACTTTCTGCCCACCAACTGTGATTTTTCTTAGGCCAACATAATAGTACTCTAATAATGCATTTCTTCCAACAACCACTGGATTTTTCAGCAAAGGAGTATGGCTCAAATTTGCTGACTTTTCATTAGAACTATCCAAAACAAGCATGCTACTTTTGCTAGTGTCATCAAATCTATGAGACACAAGACAATAAGACAATTTCTTGGCACCTAATTGATTTGGCAATGATGAAAATCCCCTACCAAAACCCGCGATTCCAGCCGGTTGTTGAGATGAAAATAAAGAACAACCAACAAGAAAATTTGGTATTTTCTTGTTAGGTAAGTCTAGTGTTTCAACTAGGCCAAGTCCACCTGTGGAACCTGCACCATATAGAATCATATAAGGTGGACAAATCTGTTTGCAATTTGATGGGTTGAGTGATTGACAATCTTGGCAACGAGATTTTGGATTGGTTTTGGGGTGAATCCAACTACATTTTGGATTCAAACATCCAACAACCTTAGCAGAAGTTGACAACTTGGGAACAAATGTAGGAATATTTTGTGAAGAAATAGGACATTTGGAACATTGGTATTTTTTAGTACATGGGAACCAAACAAAGCTACTGCCAGTGTCCATAATAAAAGACATTTTTTGAGGAGGAGTACCAAATCCAAGAGTAATTGAGTAACCTCCATAGCTATGAGGGTATAAAGGGATTTTGGAAACAGAAGAATCTTGGGAATTCTTGATATGATGTGCTCTAGCTAAGGAAACAGAAGCTAAATGCGTGAGCTTTTGGTAAAAGTCTTGATTTGGATTGGTGTTGAAAAGTGAGAGAGGGATTGTTGTGGGGGAGTTTGATGAAGAAATGAAGGGAAACAGGAGAGAAAGGATAGGGAGAAAAAGGAGGAGAGGAGGGGAAGAAGAAGCCATGGTTTTTGGGAATTGTGCCTTTGAAGATAATTGCCAATCTAAATAGTAGTTGTAGTAGTAGTATGCTCAAGTTTGAATGCATTTAGTTAAAGCAGGATAATACTTTCATGTCTCAATTTATACGTCCATATTTGACTTAACATAAAATTTAAGAGAAAAAATTTATAAAATTTATAATCTTAAATATGTTATGAAATTTTTGGAATCATAAACACATGTCAATAAAAAAGTAAAATATAAAGTTTAAGTTTAAATTATTTTTAAATATAAAAATATAATTATTTTTACAAGACTAATAAGAAATAGTGACACGAGAAATAGAACTACTTTTGTACTAATTTATGTGATGATGTTTGAATTTCGAGAATTAAACAAATTATTTTTTGACCGTATTTTTTCCTATGTCTTTTTTAAATATTTTAAATTATTTCTTATTGTGTTATAGTACTTTTTACGTAGTTATCAAATATTAAATTTTATTTAAAAATATTAAAAAATTCTATGTTTAAATACACAATTAAAATTAAAAATTTGAATTCGAAAAATAAAAAAAATCACATAAATTAAGACGGAGGGTAATATATATGTTGAAGTTGTATTTTTTTAGTAAAAGCAGAATAGTAGGTTTTGGCAACTCTTGGGACATAGGTACAACAATAGGTAGTGTGGCATGTGATTCAACAATCAAAAAAACTCCAAAAGCAATTAATTTTTGCACCGAAGTGTGTAAACGATAAGGGAGCGTTGGGGGTTGACAAAATCCAATGCTCCAAGACATTTTGTTTTAGATGCTAACCATTGCACAAGCATTTGTTTGGTCCTATTCCCTTTTTGGATTATATATATAGCATTGCTACAAATTCATAAAAGAAATAAATAAAAATAAGTAAAAGTGTAAAGATAATATTAGAATTAGGTGGTCCCCGCATTTACAGAGGGGTTAAAAAATTGTGATGACAAGAGTTGGCCATATGAAGTAACTTTGTCCGCCGAGATTTAGGCAGATAAAGATTTTCTTCTCGGTTGAATTTCAAATTTCAGTCTGTTATGATTTCCATTTCACTATTATATTTTGAACTCTGAGCTTTGAAATGAAAAAAAAAATGGGTACTAATTAATTCGCATGTTAGTCCTCACATGGGTTAGCAGTATTTTTATATTCTCTCTTCGGCCCGAGAGCAAGGTGAGGAATTCTTGGAGAGAGGGAGCCGAGGGTCTATTGGAAACAGTTTTTGGATAAGGTCTGCGTACACACTACCCTTCTCAGACCTCACTAATGGAATTATACTGAATTGTTGTTGTTGTTTCTTTTCGGCAGATCGGGGAACAATTTCAGCACTAGCATTTTAAGAATGTCATCTGATGTACCAATGTTATTCCTCTTTGTTTAAGGTACATTAATACAATCACATAAAGTAGTATATTTTCCATTAAGCTGCGATCAATGAAGTTCAAAAGGGAAAGTCTTTCGACCATTCCTAAGCTCTTCGTTTTTTTTTTTGATAATGGTGAAAAGTCTTTCCACCATTCCTAAGCTCTAAAGGGATAATTTAGAATTTAAAAGGAACACAGCACACAATAAAAAGAATAAAAAAAGAAAAGGGGGAATGACAGAGATTCCAAGATATTGTGGTCCTCGGCTACGAGAATAGGTTGTCTGGCTGATGAGGAAACCTATGTGCTGCCCTTAAGTTGCAAAATGTCCATTGATCAAAGATAAGGAAAAGTCAAGATACATATGAGGGATGAAGCATAGGCCATAGCCCACCCTTGCGAGAAAGCATTAAATTGGTGAAATACATAGACAGTCCCTTTAACTTGACAACAACTTTAACTTAGACACCTTACCTATTGGCCACCTGAACTCGGCACATAATGTACCTATTGCACCCTTTAGAAAAAAACCAAGGAGAAAAGGAAGGGTGGTTTCTTTATGGGTGTAGTGGAGAGTGGGGAGGTGGAGGTGGACCTAATGGTGGATACGAAGGTGGAGGTTGTGAAGGCAGTGTCTATGATGGATATGGTGGTCATGGGACGTTGGTGGAGGCGGATATGGTGGTCATTGGCTGCACTAGTGGAGGTGGCCACGGGACATCGGTGGAGGTGGATATGGTGGTGATTAGGAGACGAGAAAAACAACAAAAAATTCAGTGAAATCCCTCAAGTGGAATTTAGGGAGGATAGTGTATACGCAGACCTTACCCGTATCTTGTGCAGGTAGAGAAGTTGTTCCGACAGACCTCCGGATCAGGCCAGCATAGTAGGAGACGAAAAAGAGAGAAGAAGAAACTTTAAAACAGCGTGGGGTAAATATGGTCTTAAGAGAAGTGTGAAACACGCAATGCGCCAAGTCAATAGTGCGTGTCTAATAGGTACATTTTAACTTAACATTAGGTGCTGAATAGGTACAAGTCTGAGTTTGAGGTTTCTAAGTTAAAATTGTTGCCAGGTTATGGGGCAGTCTATGTATCACCTTATATAATCGTGACTTAAGACTGTGTGAACCAAACAAAATTTACAGACTGAAAATGTGATAATAAGATAAACATAGAGCCTCGCTCCTTTTTTCTTTGGCAATAACGGACAAGCTACCATTCGAATGTAAGACAACAATGAGATAGATCAACATGCCCGTGACAGACCAAGAGCACAAGGCCTTTAATTTGTTGGGGAGTGGCACATGGGTGTCTTTTGGAACATACGGATCTCTCGCCATCAAGTACCACCAGAATTGGACACAACTAATTTACTGCTATTTACAAGGGTAAGGTTCCTATTATCTCCACCTTGATTCTACAAAGTGCAACTTGAGATTACTATTTTCAGCTAAAAGTCGTACACTGTAAAAATGTAGTTCTCATTTCTACTGCACATAAGAACACTCCAGCCCTTTGGCTCTTTTAGCAAACTTCCTCCAGAGACGAAATGCGCCTGATGTCGATATACCATCATTTTTGCCACACTGGACACTTCAACCACGTATTGTTACATGATAGAAAGGTTGTTCATTCCCTTTTTTACTAATGTACAGGCTCATAAAAGCTATCAAAAAGGGAAACAAAGTAGCTACGCAGCTTTGGATTTATCCTGCTATTCAAATATTTGACTTTTGCATCAGAATATCATCAGGGCCTTCTCTAGAGCCTAAAATTCAAAATAAGAAATGGACATTCAAAGACCTTACAACAATGTATACATATAACAGGAGTAATTTCTAATCATTGAAAGATAAAGGATCAGTTTCAAAACAAAACGCCAACAGCAGCTTAGGAACACAAACCTATTGTTGCTTCGCCCTCTTCCTTGCCAAATAGCGTTCCTTAGCTGCAGTGACAGCGTCCTGATTTCTTTTATGATGGTCAACTTTTGGTTGATCACTTGCAGCAGATTCAGTGACAGCAGTTAGTCCATTATCTGAAGCGGGTTTTAAAGCCCCCTCTTCAGACAAACTATCTGAATGAGGCTTGATATCCGCCCGATCAGTCCTTTCTTTACGAGGAGGAGAAGCGGAAGCTTCATGATCTTGCCTCTTTATCTCCCTAGACATGTCTGAATGTGCATTTGCTGATGATGAAGGCTTTTCTTCTGTCCGAATTGCTTCCTGTTCATGATGATTCTCAGCCTTCTTGGACTTGCCTTCTCCTCCAAAGGCAACATTTTTTTGAAGATTGAAGTAAAAGTCACTGATGTCAGCTTTCTTTGTAACCTGTCAATATATTTAACAGTATTAGAACATAAATGATCTATGTCCTGATAGGTGAAACCTTCAGATCAAATAGAAGAATTAATGCATGCAACAGACAGCCATAGCTTCTATTTATTTGTTACTTACTGAATAACAATGTTAATTGATGTACCATTTCGGGAAAAAAATGATGTACCCTTTCTGTTTAGTGGTGATTATTTCTAGTGAACTGTTCTGTGTTAAACCATCATGTCTAAGCAAGATCAAAGCTTTTACCGTAAAATAAGCATTAATAGCCGTCGTTATAGTTTCAGATTTTCCTTTTGACATCATTAGTAGCCGGGTGGCTTCCGTACTTTTAGTTGGAGCTAATCACACTCAGTTGAAACTGTGAGGCATTTGAGAAATAAATGCTTTAGTATGCAAAGCAAAATTTTCAGTATTTGTTAAATTTTACTAATGCTTAGTTTGTCAAAATTGGAACTTCTGAAACTGCTTTTTGACATACAATTCAGGTACTAGTTTAACAAGACAAATAGCCCCACTATCAAATGTAAGTGAAATTATATTCTTGAAGATAATTCTGCTAATTTAACTTAAAAAATGCTTCGTTAAACTTTTGTACCCACACTTTTTGAAGTGCTAATATAAAATCTGTTTTTTCAAGAACTAGCCATAAACGTACTCCTCTAAAAAGCTAAGACGCTCTGCAGATCAGGGCCTTAATAAAATTGAGAAGGTAATTTCTACCATTCAGTTCTTTTTCCTTTGTAAGAGTTTTCATATTCTATCCAAAGAAACATTATCAGGTTACATGAGGCAAAAACTTTTAAAATGAGTTTTACAGAAAGAATTACCAGAAGATGACAACCATCAGTCTTTTCTGCAAATGTTAACTTAAGATCATACTTAAACATGCTCTATCATCATGTGGATACCACACGAAAAGGGCATTGTTAGAAGTAAAATTAAATTTTGGAGACATTACGCATCACTGAAAGGCCATCCATAGTTTTCAAATTAATACCTAAAGACTTTGAAATTTCTCAACACGAAGCACTACAAATGGAACTAAGATATGCAATCAAAGAACAAAAAAGATCCTGCACATGTTACCCACTAGCAATCACAAGTAAATGAGAAAATTTCACTTACATCATCTCTCTCTTCTCGCAGTTCACGAAGACGCTCTTCCTCCAACCACTTAGCCTGCTCTTGAAGTTTCCTCTTGTAAGCAGCAGTTACAAACTTGTCCTTGTCTGCAAAGAGATGATCATCTTTACTCCTCTCTTTCGCAATTTTCCTCTCATAAATGATCTCATGCTCCCTTTCTCTTACTTTTGCCTTCTCCATTAGCATCTGGATATATTTTGGCTGGAAACAAGGATAAAATTTCAGCAAAAGGTACAAAATTGCGGGAACAATTTTCATTTCTGTCGAGTTAAAACGGCAGATATTACTCTACCCTCCAGTGCTCAAAAAGTTACACATGTTAAGATATTATTATAAAGGAAAAAGTAAATAAAGAAAGAAAGTAACACCAATAACAATAAAATATAACTCTAGTTTTAGAGGAAAAACTTTGAGAGAAAGAAATTACAGTCTATATTTCAAAGGATCTTCAGCGACAAGACAATGCAACCAGACAAAAGCAGAAAAGATTGAATAGATTAGTATAACCACTTTGAAAAGAAGAACTCCCTCCTATTTTTTTCTCGCACAATTTATCTATCAAGAGATTTTTCTTGCAAAATTTTAGTTCCTCAAATGTGAGAAATGTTTTACCTAGGTATAAAAAAGCAGTTAAAAAAATAGCTTACCAAGTCCTTCGGTAAAGAATAACTAAACAAAGGAGGTACCCTCAAAAAGTAACACTTTACAGAATCTTTTCATATTTTATTTAACTCGCGAAACACTCCTAATCCTAGTATCTTACTGCCTAAGCCACTATAACATGTCATGAGTTTAAGGTTCCAGAGGTAAACCAGGATATATTTTTGGAAGGCTGAAAGTTGTGTTAACGTGAAAAAGTAATATCTTTTGAGATGGAACGTGAAAAAGTAAGATCTCAAATCCAGTTTCAGATATAGTCTACCACAATGAAAATACTGCACAAACTACTTCAACCAAGTGATTCCAGATCTGAACGAAACAAATGATGGCCTCTCAAAACATTACTAACTAGATACAGAATCAATTTCCCATAAGGGTCTTGGATATTCGTGGTAAATTCATCAGATAGGAAAAGTGATGAACATATAATCAGTTAATGATCTCTTTATTTGTTAGATATTCTCAACCAAAATTTAAGTCTGGTATGGCATACAGTTCAAAGATAAGTCATATATATAAATTTGAAACTATATAAACTTGCTTCTTTGAAAAGATTCGGAATGCAAGCTGACACGGAAACCACTCTAATTGGGAATTTCCCATGTAGGTTAAGAGGGAATACCTATTCGATAAAGGAGTATGACATTTTTCTAGAAGACAGTATATAAAACAGGAGAAAGTCTTGTGGAATGACATGAGCAACACCCAGCTAAAATGTCTGTTAGCCTACTTAGTGTTTGATACACGATCTGCTTTGTGAATTGAATCCTATTTAACAACATGGCTTCATTGATCCACTATTACACAAGCATTTCACTTGGCAATATAACAAGGAGGAAAGCTTTCCCGTGGAAAACAAATTCTACAAAAGTAACTACTTTCACATGGTTTCACAATTAATTGCAAAACCAATCATGAGTTTTCCTCTCCAAATGTTTAAGCATAGAGTATCTGCTCCAAACTTCTGAGTCGTTCATTTGTTTTATTTCATCAAATTATATTGGACATCTGGAAAAAAAACAAAGAGCAAAAAGTGGAACTCAAAACAATACCCTCCTCTCCTCGCGATCCTGAGCTCGAGGTTGGACAGCCTTCATTTTCATATCATCATATACGCCATCATAATCAAATACTGAAGGGTCCTCTTCTAATGCCTTCTTATGCTGTTCTTCAATCTGCCAAAAAAAACAGAAAACAAATACAATCAATAGAAATTACAACGCTAGTCACTTCCCCTTCTGGAGTCATACATCTTTTTTTCTGTTACATGTAAAGATATTTTACACTATAAGAAAAGTTTATCTCTGATACAGGTTAATTTACCATTTTTATCGGGGTGTCATGTAATGCTTGCTTGTCAAAAAGATTTACCGGAAATTACCTTATAAGTGACCTGAGTGCACAAAACTTAAGCTCTAAAGTAAATCAGTTAAAAAGGATTTCAAAAAATAAGGTATAAAACAAATGTGAAAATAGTGAGATGAGCAAAAAAACCTTACATCTTTGAGAGCCTTATTCTTGGAGGCATGGCGAGAAATTTCTTTTTCCACGTCATCATCATCATCTCCGAAACCAAGTGCTGCTGTAGGAAGCGGAGGCCTTGTGGGTCCCCCCTGTTTCTTCTTCTGCTGTGATGGTGGAACTCTTAGTTGTAAACCATATCCCGACTTTCTCATCATCCTTACAGCTCTGCAAATAAAATTGAATAAATTTCAATACAGAAATTAGAAATTTCTATGTATTAGGGTTTGTATGATTACTTACTGGTCTTTTGAATTGCAGCTGGTTTTATCAAACCGTGGAACTCTCCGAAAAAGTTCTCTTCTCGATTGGCAATAATCGGCAATTTAGAGCTGTCGGAAGAAGGCGGTGGTGGCGGTGACCGATGCCGGAAAAGGCGGTAGCCGGCGGCGGGAGAAATAGGGGAATGGGGGTACCGGCAAACGATTGGAAACTGGACCGGGATATGGATCCAATGAAAACACCGGGTTTTTTTCCTTTAATAAGGAATTGAATTTTCCGGAGGTATTACTCCCTATTTAACTAAATTTCTTAATGGTGGGCTGAATAATATAGAAATTGGTCAAATACTTTTGAAAAATACTACTCCTGGTATGTACTAATATGTTACTTTCTCTGTCCTAATTTATAATTTTTCAAGAGTCAAATATTTTAAATTTTGACCATAAATTAGAAGATCTTAAGTTTTTTTAAATAAAATTTACATATTTAAAAATTATATAGTACTACTAGAAGTTATAATAATTAATAATTTAAAATATTTTAAAAGTATATAAAAAATTTTGGTCAAATAAAAACTCATTTGGTTCTTGAAATTTTAATTGTACCATATAATTCCTTCCCCGCCCCATCGAGAAATAGAACCGACTAAATCCTAAGTCAAAGGGTCGAGAAACTCAACGCCACTTCTTTTTATCATTTTTCAAAAAGTTGATAAACAGAAAGAGTGTAAAGAAGATATTGTCTGATATATTCTTACAAAAATTATAAAGGAAAGAAAGAATGGATTATCAAAAAAAAAAAAAAAGAGAAGAAAGAGTGACAGTCCTAAATGCCATGTAGCAAAAAAAAAAAAAAAGAGAAGAAAGAATAAAGAGTAACATTGTATATTGTGCATGAATCAACTTTTACCAAATTACGTGTAGTGATTTATTTATAATGGAACACTTTCATGGTATAATACAATGCATTTCAAGTTAGATAAGATATAAAAGAAGAAATGGGAAGGAGTAATGCCATTATGCACTATTATTTTAAATAAGTTCCGTTAGTCACAAACTTAAACTGTTTAATTTGTTCAAGAATTAAAAATTATGGCAACTTTAGTAAAGAATGGGTCTGCAGCCGCAAGGTAAAATGTACGAATACTCTAACACGATCATAGAACCCTGGCGCAAGTGTTCAAACTCAGCGCGTCATGCATGTCTAAGACATCTGGTTCGCAAATGCGAAGGTCGCAAATGCGACAAACTCCTCGGAAATGCGAACCCTGGCTTCCGCTGCCATGGTCGCAATGAAATAAAATTAGCAACTTTAAGCATGAGTAGTGAATGCTGGAAAAAAAAAAGCTATTAATTGTGAATTGGGTGAAGATCTTTTGGATTGAAAAGAAAAGGAAAATGGACGGTAGAGTAGTCTCTATTTTTAGATTGATAGAGTAAAGATCAGAGCGGAACAGGTGTTAAATATTACTACCTACGTGCACTTTTACTTGGCATGTATACTAAAAATAGATTTTTATTTTTATTTGTCACTTTACGCATATCAAGAGAAGACAAAAAAAAATCTGTTATACCCACAGTATTTATTACTCATTTCAAATCATTTTCTCAAATCTAATAAAATATGCATCAATTAATATGAGTATAATGATAAATTATGCACTTCATTTATTATTTCTTAAGGGGTGTGAAAAATCATAACATGCCAAGTAAAAATGAATGGAGAGAGTATTTTAAATATATGGCAATCAAATATCAAATAATAAATAAATATGCACTAATAATAGAATAATTTATTATTACTACATATGCTTCTGCTTTGAAATTAGGGAATAATTTAGCCGCTCCTTAAATACCTTACTTGATGGAACTAATCAGAATCCCCATGTTGTACTTCCTTTGTTGTTTAATTAAAAGCTCATTCGGCCAAGCTGTCAAAAATTATTATTTTTTTAAAAGTATTTTGGTTCAAAAATATTTTCAAAAAAGTACTTTTGTAATTTGATTAATTAATTAAATAGTACTTTTTGTAGCCAAATTATGTTTGGCCTATCATTCCAAAAATTACTTTTGAGTATCAAATTACGAAAAAGGACCATAAAGGTTCAGTTTACAATTAGTCTTATTTTAAAGAGATAAATAAATTTGAATATTTATTATAATAAAATATAATTTAAAGATTTCGAACAATATAAAATAATAACTATTCCAAAGCGATAATATTGGGATATCTGTATTTACTTATTGTTTACATGATGATTTAAATATAACAAAATATATCATTCAATATAAATTAAAAATTTGCTCTTATAAATCACTATATAAAAGAAGAGATGTATTTATAGTAAAGAGAAATAGAAGAAAAAGAATAAAAATATGATAGAATTACCAAAAAAGAAGAAATGTATGGTAAAAAGAGAAAAAGAAAATAGATTATGAATAAACTAATTTTCTGCTTCTGCTTAAAGCAGCAAAATTACTTCCGCTGCTGCTCAAAATTATTTTTTTATTTTTGTCAAACATCTCAAATTTTCCAAAAATATTTTTTTGTCAAAAAAAAAAATACTTTTTGCTTCTTAGAAGCTTGGCCAAAGATGCTCTAAAGCATGACGCCATTTACTTGCTCATGATAAGTTGAGACAATCTTTCCAATAAAATAAGCTGATCAAAAAGTTGTATCGGACTTGCAAGCATTAAGAAAGAAAAGAAGGGAAACATAAAAGAAAACGAGCCAATATAATGAAGCCAACAAAGAAACTGAACTAAAACGTAAAAAACCACTGTACTTTGAAGAAGAGCACCTCTTCGACTTTAGCTAATGGAAAATAACTACTACTATGTAGCAATAACGTGTATATTTAAACCTGTTCGGCCATAAAAATTTCAATTTTAATTAAGTTGAATTTCGAAATTTTTCAAAAATTTAAAAATTTTCAAAAACTATTTTTCAAAATTTTCCTTACAAATCACTCACAAAAATTCAAAAACAGCTCTTCTAAGTTGTATTCATGTCCAAACACACCTCTAATTTTCAAATACCATTTTCATTTGAAAAAAAAAAATTATGTCCAAAATGCCCATTGTTCCATCTTTTGCTTTCATCCCGAAGAACTGCGTCTACGTAATAGTTAATGTCAATTTAGCAAAAACTAGTGCAAGGACTAAAATCCCTACACTTTGGCAAAGGTAAAATATTGTGCTGTAAGAGTTCGAGGACAACAAATGATTGTTCATGTACAACCTGGAAAGCATCAGAAATAACTGTATACGACACATAAGATATTCCCCCGAAATCCAATTCCAATAAACGAAACTAAAAAAAAAGATGTTTATGAGGTAAAAATTAATAAGTTACTTCAAGTATCTGGTATTAAGTTATTCAAATCCTCCGAGTTAGCAAAAAGCAGTTGGGCATTATTCTTACCAGCACACACAAGAACAAACAGCAAACAAAGCTGTTGTTGATTAGTCTTTTGGAGCACATATAGTTCTAACATACTTCCATTACTTGGTGAAAACACTAAACTTGTGCCAGAGTAAAAGGGCATACATAACAAGAAGGTAAAATTAGAGGGGTAGAAAAGGTAAACTGAATGAAAAAAAGAAAAAAAAAAGTTGTAAAAGACACTTTTAGCTCGCAATGAAACAAGCCCCAACAAATGATTCTTACTTGCAGTTGACTAAATACGCATCCCATCCTTGAAGCCGGTATTCACGAGCTGCCTCTATGGGGTTGGCCGCCTTAATAATTCCACGGCCAACTATAATGATATCACTGCCTCTATCAGCAATTACCTGAAACCATAAATACTCAAAGTGAGAGCTGCTAAAATAGTTCTGTCGTGTTAAAACTAGTAGAATTCTTATAAAACCAATTAAAAGGTAGCCGGGAGTATGAGGAAACAACCCCCACATAACAATAAAACAAAAATGGAAGTTTTTGCATCATGCAAATGGTGCGGAACAACAGACCAAAACGCCCTGGGCAATAGCACAACAATATGAAAATGTTTCATCTCAACGACTTTATGGTACTCATATAGTCAACACAAAAGTGTGGTTCCTTGGGGTCTTGTTAAAGCACACATTTTCTGCAACTGACAATTCACATGCAAGGGTGAAGTATAAAACACAGAAGTGTCATAAGCTATGTTTTGTAGGAACTAACAACTTCTTCCTTTCTAGCTTCAAGCATCCGGTGTCCGGAACACACTGGCCCTACTAATTCGAATTCTCACAGTACAAAGCCCACTATGAGGGGTTTTAGTGTTCCCTACAAAAGAGGACCCATTCCCAGGTCCTGAATCGGAAAGGTTACCAGAGTGAAAAGGACCTTTACCATTAACACTGCACCCTTCGGTGGGTAATAATTTCTTTCTTCATCATTACATGGACATTTCAATCACCAAATCATCAAGGTGCAATCTTTGAACAAAGCCATCTTATGGGTAAAAATTGCTCCTCCAGCTCATTATTTTAAAAAATTGTTCTCTAGTTTAATGTTGTGAGTGAAGAGTCTAATACAATTCCAAAAATAGTGTATATTCATGAAAAGGATAAGAGGATAGACAAATTCCAGAGTACAATAAAGGTTCAAATTCTCTTAGAACACTGGATATAATGAGTTAATTTAAGCATTAATTATTGCAAAGTGTTGAATAGAGGTACAACTGCAATAGGCTCTCAAATGTAGTTGAGGCCATGATTGTCACCAAGCAAGGGTCAAAATGTATAGACGCTCACTCTCCTTCAGTGGGAGTCTCTCTCATAGTTTGTTACTCCCTACATCCAATTTATGCAACAGTGTTTGAATGGGCACACCGTTTAAGAAAGAAAGAAAAACTTTTGAAACTTGTGGTCCAAAACAAGCCATAGACATTCGTTTGGCTAGAAATCATCTCATTAAGTGAGAAATGGGAAATTTAGCGTTAAATTATTTTCAAATATAAAAGGCGTCATTCTTTTTGGTACAGACTAAAAAGGAGTGTGCCACATAAAATGAGACAGAGGGAGTATTACTTATTACATGTTTCACAAACACATGAATCATACATGCAATTAATTCCATGTAAAACAATGATAGAGTTATCCATCCATACATATGCTAACATAAATATGCACAATACAACTGAGTATTTTGTTTATTTAGGTGCATTAGAGTTTAGAGAATAGTGCCAGGTAGAGTCAAAATCATAATACTCACAGGAGATCCCTCTAAGAACTTACTAAGAATAGGTCATCAATTTCTTCCCCCTTAGGATTAAGGATGACTGATAACTGCCTCAGATACCAAGAGTACAAGCGAAGGCTTGTC